GAGGAGGCAAGCAAAGAAGAGGAGAACACAAAATAGGAAGAAGACACAACAAAAACCACAACAATACTTCTACTATTCTTTGTTTGAAGTCCATTTTGAATTATGAATAAATTTTTTTTTCACAGTGTTTTTGATTCCCCTCTAAAACAGGGGATTTTCTTACATCTGCCATGTTACTTGTTTCTTGGCTACATCGCCCACCTTTATAAATTTTGCTAAAATTCGGCAGTTAGTGACACTTTATTTCGTGTGTATTAATAATGATATTAATCCACATAATTAGCCTTGTGGTGTGCTAATTTAACTTTATACCATTGAATGGGGAGAAGTGGTTAAACTACTCCACTTGCTATATATAATTGAATTTCATTTATTATAGCATTGAAATTTGGGGTGTTCCTTGAAAGTTAACTTTTAACTTGCTGTTAAAATACCTAAGTAAAATATATATATATATATATATATATTATATATATATATATATATATATATATATATATATATATATATATATATAAATTATGTTAATAATGAGAACTTTTCTATGTAAGATTAATTTTCTTGTTCCAAGTATAATAGGGTCATATCTGGTAAAGGAATCTGCATAGTTACGTGAAGAATAAACAATATAAAATTCAGGAGCAACTCAACTTTAAATTTGCAATAAAATTGAATTATAAAAATAATTTTCTTAAAGAAGGATATTCTATCATGATAGTTAAGGACACAAGACAAAGTCAAAAGGAAATAAGGAATCCAATATTCTACATGAACCCACCTACACGGTCCTTATAACATTCCAACAACCCCAATGGAAGCAAGTGAAAGAATATGAAGTACAATATGTTTTTTTTTTCTAAGGAATTTTTTTTTGTACATATTCTAATATATGATTGATTTAACATGTAATTACGAAGCCTGTTATTTTAAATAAGTTTATTGAGATATAGCATTTTAAGAGGAACAATTTCAAAAAGAATTTTATATTTTACAAAAAGCTTATCATATAATACTATCATTCTGCAAAGAGTTATCCAATGTACTCATTAATTAAATTAGATTAACAAAACTTTTTTCTTTTCTCAATTTGGGATTTTTTTCTCCATCTGACTTAGATAAATGAGTCATGAGTGGGATTTAACAACTGTATGTATGTATTTATTTATTTATTTATTTATTATCATTATTATATTATTATTTTCCTCCCAAATATCACGTTATCAAAACATGATTTTTGAAAATATCATTATGGATAAGAATGACCTTTCTTCAAGTCGTGGTCATGGTTGTAACTGTCCAGCTCACAAACACAGAATGTTCCGATAAAATCCAGGTTTGTGAAAGCATATAATAATTTTACACAGGAAAAAAACAAGAAAATAATACTTTTATGGATAAGTTCTTCTACAAATTGTTATTGCGAAACAAAACAAGAAGGTATATCAATAGTGATTAATTGGAACAACTAGTTATTGATATTCATAGTTTCAACTTGTACTTTTACACAAATTACAATTCTTTTAAAATTACAATTGAATTTTTCTTTTATTTATTCAGATTAATGCATTTTTAAATTTTGCCAAGTACTTTTTTAGGAAGAAAATATTTATGATTAGAACAGTGTATGTCACATTAGATTCTTTTTGAATAATTACTTCGATTGAAAAAAAAAACTTTGCCCCATCTCATATTTTCAACCTTATTGTGATTATTTTTCCTCATAAATGTTTTCGTCCCACCTTTATCTCACCTACTTCGTAGTTGTTATCATAGTTTAAAAAAATCTGAATAAATTCCTTGCTATATATGTTCTAATAATCAGTTTCATCATATTTTTTTTTTTGTTTTCAGTACATTTAATTTAACCATAATCATGTTATATATATATATATATATATTGCTTACTTAGATAAAATAAATATGTTACTACTCAATATATTTAGCTAATTAAAAGACTACATGTCCTCATAATACTCAAGTCAATGAAATATTGACTAAAATGTAGTCCCTATATATAAGAGTCAGGTATCACACTAGTTATTAAAATAAAAAAGATAGTTTTTAAATTTTGTCTTTTGGTTAAACTAAGTTTTATTTATATTCTGAAATTAATGAATTAATTTCCAAACTTTATTGATAAGCGACTTTAGTTTCTCACCTGATTTTAAAATGATAAAAAATATTTATTTAAATATTAAATTTAAGTATAAAAAATTAGTTTGGATACAAAAAAATGAAAACTAATTTGACATGTTTTTAAAAGGTAAAGTAGTATTCCATAAATTTAAATCATGCCATGACAAAAAAATTGCTTTAAAAAATTACATGATTTATTTTCCTAATATAATTATAATGGTTAATGAATAAATTAAAAGTCGAAATTTAATAATCAGGTCTTACTATGGAATAAATTGCATGGAACTATGTGCAAGTTTTAATGCTATTTATTTTTTCTATAAAAATTTAAAATCATTTTCTCAAGGACAGAATTGAACAGTAATTAAAACAGAACAGTGGTTTGTGTATTCACAACCACGTTTAGGTTGTAAGTTTTTGGGTGTTTGAGACGGCATCGTTTTAGGGAAGTGACAGAGGAGACTGTAGAGGCGCAGTGAGAGTTCAGTCACGAGAATGAAGGCGTTGGGATGGTGGCTGATAGCGGTGGGCACGCTTCGATTGGCTTCGGTGTGGTTCGGTTTCTTCGACATTTGGGCTCTTCGACTCGCCGTCTTCTCCAACACCACAAGTAACTAATTCTCTTCTCTTTCCTCATCTTGCTCCAACACACAAAGTTGCTTTCGCATTTCGTTACACAGATTTAGGTCATTGATTCATTCAGTTGCATCAATCAGTTGTAGTAATAAGTAGATCTTCACTTGTTTCAATGGTAGATACTGTCGGTTGAGTATGTAGTGTGTTCTGTTACTTCATTTGCGTACTCGCCGTTTCAGCGTCTGCAACGGTGCTTGTGTCATTACATTTAATGAGTTTTCTGAGGGAGGCAATCCAAGCGTTAGATCCAATGTATGGCAATGAGATCTTCTAGATCCCAATGCTTCGGATATTGTTATTCATCTTTTCTAGCTTACATAAGGAAATGTCGTTGTTCCCCCTTTTGCGTTTCACAAGCTATCAGAATGTTTCCAGGATAGGCTCTACATCGGTTGCATTTTCATTTTGAGGAATTCCTTTTTTCCATGGTAACTATGTGTGTGCCTCACGCAACCTCTTCAATTTTTCCTTTTTGAAAAATATGAACTACTTTTTGGCAATGCAGGAGGCGGTATTGGTTTTTATATTACTAGTTTCCTTGAAGAAACTGTCTGGTTTAACTGTTGGTTTACTGCGCATTATGCATTTGATTTCTACTTTTTAAAAATTGGTTTAGTTTTCCAAGAAGGTAGCTGACAACTAGTTGGGGGCTGTGCAACGCACACATAAGTGTGTAAATTAAGCGAGAGGTTATGAAAAGAGAGGAAGATGAAACATTCTGTTCTGAATTATAATTTTGATATTTAGCTTTAGCTGTTCATGTTTAGTTCTTACAATTTTGTGACAATATATTTTCATCTAATAATTAACTGGGTTGTTCCAAAAGTATGATATATCATTAAAAATGCCTTATATTACAAAAGTATGATGTATGATTAAAAATTGGCCCTTGTTTATGAATGTAAAGGATGGTTTTAAAATTCTGAAGTAGTTTAGAGGTTTAAAATTCTTTGATCCATGAAATGCTATTATCGTCTTGTCCACTGCATCTCATTTTCTTGCACAACCTTTTTGAGCCCTGGTTTTAACCAGCCAGAGTCAGCTTTTGAACATCACGAATCTTGACAATGTGGTTTTGAAAATTGTTCACATGATCTTTCCAAGGCTATACATATCCTTTCCTGAATAACAAGTTGTTTCCAATTTGCTAATTGAATCTTTCGAATTTAAAGAATGTGTTTGGATGACCATTTAGGATTCGCCTTTTTTTACCACATTTAGGATACTCGTGATGTAAAAGTAAGTGTGTTTGGTACAGCGTTTGGATCTTAAATTCACATTATAAATGTAAAAAATGTAAACTACTCAAAGTAGTATTTGTTTATTGATCGACATTCGACTTGATCCCTCATTAAACCAAACATCTACTAAGTATATATTGCTTCAAGTTGATACATACCCAGCACAAAAAAGCTCATAAAAAATGCTGTGAATCCTTTTATCTACGTTAACCCTTTTCCATGCAGCATGTTTATGACATGATTACCCAATTAATCAAATAAACTAGGTCCGAATTTTGAAGTTTGGTTGGTCTTTACTGTAAGTAATGCCCTCGACTGTATGAACAGGCTTTGTTTTCACCTTTTTAAAATGATATGATAAAGCTTTGTTGCACATGTGATGAAAATAGATTTTGCCACTTATTAATTCGACAGCATTCATTATAGCTTTATATATATTATAATTTTAAACATAATCATAGTGTGAATTTCAAACTTATAGACTAGTTTATTCATTGTTGTAGTGACTGAAGTTCATGGACGCACATTTGGAACTTGGACATTGTTGACCTGCACCCTTTGCTATATTTGCGCATTCAACCTTGAAAATAAGCCTCTTTACCTGGCTACTTTCTTGTCATTCATCTATGCATTGGGACATTTCTTGACAGAATACTTAATTTATCGCACAATGGAGATTAAGAATCTAACTACTGTTGGCATATTTGCAGGTATGAAACTTTTTTTCTCGAGCCCTATCAAATTGACACGGGCTACATTATTTGTCTTGAATATTAATCAAAATTGTATTTATTTATTGTTTTTTATCTATCTGCCAATTATTTTTCTATAATCACCCTTCCCCGTGTTTAATTATTGGTGTCGAGAATTTTTAAGCTTTCTTTTTACATCTTTATACTTAATATGCTTGACTATCTCAGTTGTCTTTTCGTTGTGTGCATTATTTGCTACTCTCTTTCTGCTCTCCCCTAGTCAAAATATTTAAAAGTAAGGAAAAGAATCTTGTACCCCATTATATGTCCTCTAACCTTTCGGTTCATTATTATTCTGAAACGACCTTGGTTTGACTTATTATTCCTCCTATGTTGGCATTATTTACGGGTGAAATACATTATAACATCTTAGTTTATTAACAGGAACATCGATAGTATGGATGCTGTTGCAATGGAATTCTCACTCGAAAATCCACTTGAAACACTTTTAGTAAGCAAAAAGAGTTGGGGCAAAAGTACAATTGGTGGTATTCAACTGTGTAAAATACAGGAGACACGCAGCCTTAGATATGTTTTCCGTTTTTTAGATTTTATTTATCCACATTTCAAGTTGATTTCGCCACCCATTGCGGTTTAAGAAGTCATGAATGCGGCGCTTACCTTGTTAACCTATCCTTAAAATGCAAATTATTATTGCCTTTGGGCCGTTTTGCACTAGTTGATATTAAGAAATGAGAACCCTGGTGTTTTAGAATTTTGAAGATGAATTCTACTTTTCCATGTAATCCGTTTAATGACCTTATATTGCTGAAGGGATTGCTTCTGTAATTAGAAGCATGACAAATTTGTGAACATAACTTTGAAACTTCATTTCTAGATACAAGTTAGTACAAGGTAATTTGCCTTGACTCATTGTTCAAAGCTCATACGCAAAGAATCTGAGACCATTATATATATTTTAAAAAGAATAATTATCAATTGTCGTATCTGAAATGATTTTACCAAGTTGCAGAGATTTATATCATTCTGTCTAGGCTGTCTCAAGCCCTACAGCGTGTGTATCACATGAAATAAAGTTGGGTAGAATTGTCTTTAGGAATTACCGTAAGTAGTAAGTTAGTATCAGAATTATTGGGCAAAACTGTGCCAAATTGTGCCAAATTCTTTAAAACAATGTCCCAAGATGCTACGAATAGACATGGTTCAAAGAAGGAAAAAGATGGAAGATGTAAAAATAAAAATACTTTTTAATTATTAGAATATATTTATTTTATTAGATTTATAATTTTTACACTATGATGATAATATAAAAAATTCCCTACTGCTATACGTAGGTAATTCACACTTACCTGATCTCGGTTTCTTCTTTTTATTATTATTCACATAAATACTGACAAGAAATACAAAGTCTAGTTAGTAGGTTGATTAATCACATGCCTCTTCAATAACTGTAAAATAAATATTAACAATGTATTATTTTGAAATTTGTTGCTTTAATACTTCAATAATCCCAGTTCTATTAATATTGAATATCACTGAAGAATGGTGTTAAAACTGAAGTATCAGCATGTACTACCATCATTTCCTCTCTTGTGATGAAGTAATGCCACAGCTATGTACAGTGTTGTTTTCGAAAAGCAACTTTCACTCGTTATATCTGAATTTGTCTAGGACAAAACTAACAAGCTCTGCCATATCCATATATAAATCCAATACCAAGGGGAAGGGATTGTGAGCCCACAGCTTTTGTACCCTTAGCCATTTTTGTTGTTATGCATCACGAGGGCTTTCAATCTTGAAGGAAATGGACCATCTGATACTACAGATAAAAACATTGGGTCCAGCCTGACTTACAAAAATGTCGGCAACTCCTTTTGCAAACGAACCAAACTAGATAAAAAATGGAGGACCAAAAATAAGATGAGATCAAATCCATATGAAGCAATTCGTTACTACAACTAGTTTTTTCTGTGTGTGTGGAACGTTTAAACTTTGACTTTATGTGGAATATTTGAACTATAATACTGTCTGGGCACAAGGCATAATATGACTCAGAGACTCACAATAGCAGAAAGTATGAATAAATTGTTTACAGTCTGAAAAAGGAAAACAGCGTACAAGACATTATTTTAAAGCAGATACTTGTTTGGTTTGTTGTGTCTCAGAAAGGGTCTGCTTATTCAGCTCGTTATTGAGTTCATTTCTACAGTTGTTATCGATAACTTGATACAATGCTTTCCTCCAATTTCTCCTCATTCAAATTCTAAGTGACTTTTATTTTCCCTCTCATGCAGCTGTCCCATTTCAAAGGAAAAAAAGTTTCTAAGAGCACCCATGTTAAATCGTGGCATACTATAGGTTGCACTATCAAAATCATTCCTTAAGTAACGAATCTTTGATCCAGCACCAAAATCAAGCACATCATTTATTCTTTTTGTTGCTAAGACATTTGGAAATGAATCAGTGCTGTGGCCAATGACGTTGCTTGAGTCCATGATTTTCTTCTTCTGCTTTTCTGTGTCAAGCCCTTTTGAACTCCCCACCTGTTCCTCTTTTACTTTTCTCAATTCTCCAAATTCAAATTCAGAACCTAAACTTTTTGTCATCCTCATGAAAACCCTAGATGCTCCAGTCTCTTTGTTATATTTCTCACTTTTTGATTGTGTATCATTTTCACCTTCGTCATGACCTTCATCCTCTAATAAGCTCATATCTTCCATCTGTTTTCCCATGTCTTCACTATCTTCGTCTTCATTTTGCTCCTCCTTCTCTTTATCTTGTTCATCAATAAGGTCTTCTGCTTCCTCAGATTCTTCCTCTTCAGTTCTTTCTCCATCATGTCCAACAATGCTGTCATCCCTTTCAAGTTCGTTTTCTTCAGTATCCTCCAATTCGAACAGTTTATCATTTGACCGTGGTTGCAACCCTTTTCTTCCAAGCCTTTTAGTTTCAGAACCAACCTTCAGAGTCTCAAATGTTTTTGCAGAGGTTTCCTCGTACGGCATCTTTTCATGTGAGTGCTGTTTGAGTTGGTGAAGCAACCATATGCCAGCAACAATCAAAATAAATATTTTAAAACCTTGTTTTACCTTGAAGCCTTTTGTCCTCTGGTTTCTATTGGATACTTGCTTCAACATGATTTACTTATGAAACATCAGGTGTTTGCAGAATCTGTACAAGGCAGCATTAGTGTGACCAAAATAGCATATCAGAAAAAAGTAAAAGATAAAAAAGTCAAGCAAGCATAAACCAAAGTCTTCAACAGAGTAAACAGAGAAGCCCTAACTGTAGAAAAACGTTTCAGCATAAAGAAATAATATTGTTATATTGATGCCTTGTAAAACAACTGAAGGCAAATTGATTAGTAAGTTTCTATCTCAACATGACAGTGAATCAGTGACAGTCTTCTTTCACCATTTTTTTTTCTGCATAATTAACTTTGTTAAGTCAAATCAGTACTCCACTACTCACCAACTATCAAAATCTACTAAATTTTGAAATTCCAAAACAAGTATTCTAAAATCCAAACTATATAATCGGGAGATGTTCTCCCATCATATCTTTTTTATAATGTTGAATCTCTCTTTCAATTCCTCTATCTATTTTGTTTCTTGCACTCTAGTAGTTGTCTGTCTGAATAGCTTTGTTTACTTGCAGAGTTTTGAAAATAGAAATCACATCCAAAAGTTCATACTTCCATTCTTTATCCTCACTCCAAGTAGTGGACTCTGATATATACAAATAATGAACAAATTCACTACATAAGAAAGTTTTTCAATTCAACCAACATTTAAGCTGATAAACCCGTATTAAAAAAGTGAGATAGGTCAGTAGTATACACAGTTCAAGTCCAAACTTTATGGTCAAGTAGTAATGTATAATATTCATTAAAAAAAAGAGACAGAATGAGGCAAGAGAGAGTTAATTTCTAAAGGAAAAGTGAATGCCACAAGAGATGATTTTGAAGTTGAGTGCAACTTGGAAGTAATTAAAGCTGGTAGAAACTAGGATTAGTAACAAGTAAATAGAGGAAAGAGGATGAAGGGTATGTGATACCAGCGTGGGAGAGCAAGACAGTGAGAAAAATGAAGCATATCCATATCTCTGCAATCTCTCTGACTGTGTTTGATGAAAGTTCACAATGAGAGAGAAAAAGAAGACGACGAACCCTCGTGAATAACATATGGTGGTCACGGGCTAGACTAGCCATGCGTGACGCACGTGCATGTTTTCCTGTGTGGCGGAAAAGGGCATGCACAGTGACATCCTTTGTTGAAGTCAAGAAGAAGAGTATTTATAATAGGAATTGGAGGTTGGTAAAATGATTTTTCATCTTTAATGTCAGGGTATACTCTATTATTAGTCTTTTTCTTGCATTTTAATTGAAGTTAGTTTCTATATTTGACTCTTTTTTTTATAGTAAAACCAGTGTTGTAGTGTTGTGGGTTTTGAAAACTATATTTTTTAGAAAATATTATTTTAATCATGAAATGTAACATTACTTTCTTAACTTATTATTATATTTAAATTATGTTATTATTGTCATTTTATTAAAAATAATGTCATTTTATTAAATATCAGTGAGTTTTTTGTTTTTTAATTTCCAAGAGATATAACTGTAGTTTTATTTACTAAAAGCATAATAAACATAAATGTCTATTTTTAAAAAGACATGTGGGATTCGTCTTTAATACCATAAATGTCTATATTGCCTAAATGCACATAACAGCAATGATCTCTTTTTTATGTCTGAAATAAATAGCAATTATAATAAAGATTTAAAAGTTAAAAATAGTTAATTAGCTACAAATATTTTTTCTATGTCAGTTTTTTTATTTTACTCATTTATTTTTTAGTCATATATCTATAATAATTGTGATACTCAATAATTATCTATAAGTTTTTTATATCAGTGTTTACTACGTAATCATTTTTTTAGTAATTATTAAATGATAAAATAGTATAATGGTAACACAAATTAATTAATAAAATAATACTTCGGTACTTTTATATCGAAGATGACAAGTTATAATAAATTATGGATTTGATAACATGTAACAACATTTACATAAGATTAAATAACTTTATAAAATTATTAAGTTTAATTTATTAGATTTGTATTAATATATCGCACTTTATATTCAAATCTTATTTCAATTTATTATAAATATAAAACAATTTTTATTTATTATGTGAAATTTAATATATTCTTTTTAACAATAATTCAAATAATATATAAATTATTATTTAAGAATATGTATTTGAAATTTATCCTTACAATTTTTTTATATATTTTAATTTTATTTTTGCAATTTTAATTTTTTTATCAATAACAATTTTAATTTCATTTTAATGTAATTTTAATTACTTAAATTTAAGTTTATATCATCTGTACAAAGAAAAATTAGTAATCATCTATTTTTATTAATTAAAATATATTTTAATTTATCATATCTATTACATGGTTCACAAATTCTCATGAATTTTATCTTTAAATTTCTTGGTTCATCTTTTCAAATCCCTAAATACAAACAACATCACAAATTCCTCTCCATGATTTCAAATCTATTCACTCACTATTTTTCAAATCTCTTTCTCAATCAAAACACTACCTAATGTTAAGAATACTATCACTTGCTTTTCTTAAAAAATAAATAAATTTAGTTCAATTTAGTTATAATAATTCATGACCAAAGGATATATTGTTTCTAACAAATATGCTTAAAAAAACATCAATGATAAAATTGGGATTTCTATTTAT